CCAACTCTCTGTATGCATGCTGATTTATTTCTTGCAGAACATAACTGCTTTCTGAAGGAAATAGGCCCTCACTTCTTACCCCGCTTCCTTAATTAGCACCTCCACTACAGTGTCTGAAAATCCAGGTGGCCTGACCATTGTAGCATCCCTGCTACAATGCAATGTCCTTTGCATTCAGCACCATTGAAAACTGAAGTTCCCCTGTAAGAGATCTTAAGAAATAGCATGCCCTCCTAATTAGGGATCTGCTTACATACAACATGATTTTAAAGTAGCTCAGTAACTATGTTTTATTGGGCCAGGATCACTGACATAATCAGGCAGAGTGCATGCCTTCCATACCACTTGACCAATAGACATTTCAGATTAGAATCATTACTGTAATGCTAAGGGCATGTGCACTTGTTTAACAAATTTATTTCAAGTGCTTGCCTATGTCCTGATGCAAGAAATCGAGCCCATTAAGCAAGATTTGTTTAACAGAAACATGTGTGTCTAACATTTGGCTGGATGGACATTGGTGTTTTTTGCAGTGCATTTCAACAGAAATCAAATGCAGACTGCTACACTGCAGCACAAATCACCTCATGCTGTAATCTCTGATGTGAATCCCATGGTTTTTGGTGTTTCACTTTGCACAACATTATGGCCACAGCTTGTCATTTGTCTGTGGGGGCCAAAACGGTAGCTGTTTCAACACGCATTTGATAAGTAGAATATCTTACGCAGATAGGTAGAAAGATGCCAATGTTTTTTTAAAACCAGCAACAGATCATAAATTCATACTGATGAAACAAACATTGAACAATCAGGTATGAGAATGCCTACTTGGTTGTCATATGTTGTGACATGAAGGATCACATTAATGCTTTAGTCAACTGTTTTACATTGCTATAATTTGATTTCTTCGTTTTATTTATATTAATAATTGCAAAATGGTTTAGTGTTACAACTTTACTAGAATAATACTTGTATCATAAAATTACTGTAGTTGAATCTCAGTTTGCGTATTTTATATGAAATTATTCTGCATACTGTCTTTCTGAGAGCCTTCTGTTTCTTTTAATGCTCTTGCAATGAGAATAGTTACACCAGCTTGGATCAAGGCAGAGTTACCTGCTACAATTAAAATTTAGCTTGAATAAATTCCCCCAGCACAGTTACAAGCATTGCAAATTATTTGAATAATTTATTTCCAGTGAAAATTCAGATTGCATTATTTATGAGGTAGGAATGATGCATTTTGTGTTTGCAAGAATGTTTTATGAAGTATTTTGAAAATGTTTGGTAGAAATTTAATTAAAAAGTCTTTACCTACGTTCTGTAACTCCCCACATTCTTTACCACTATACAACACATTGCATGACAGTATCATTGGAACATTTGTTTGGAAACTGTCTAAACTGTAGCTTCTATTTTCTGTAATTGATGGAATTAACTGTGCCTTAACTTGATTAAATGCACCCTACTTTCTATACTTATCTGTGCATCAACCCATTTCGTACCTCCACTCACTATTCCAACCGCTTTCCAAATTAGTTTAAACACCTACCAACTTAAACGAAAAGCTTCCTCACAAAGATATTGGTCCCTGCAACACTGATACTCCGTAGTAGCAGTGTGTATTACTCGCAAGATGGGCTGCAGAAATTCACCAAAGCTCCTTTTCAGCTTTACCAGAACATTCTGCTTTGTGCTGGCCACTACACTCACCTCTGCCCCCAATTCTCTTGAAGTTCTAACAAGCTACTGTCTTCCATCGTGAAGACTAATGCAAAAATTCCTGTCTGGTTCCCCCACCATTTTTTGTTTCCCATTACTACTTGTCCAGGCTCATTTTCCAGTGGTCCAATATCCACTTTTTTCTCTTTCTTACCTTTTTATATACCTGAAAAACTCTTAATCTTGTAAATTACTAGATAGCTTACCCTACTTTATTCTCTCCCCTTTATTGTTTTTTTAGTTGTCCTCGGTTGTTTTTTTTAAAAAGGTTTTCTAATCATCTAGCTTCCTACTAATCTTCACCATATTACATGCTTTCTTTTTTTTTTGCTTCTGTGCTGTCCCTGACTTCCTTCATCAGCCATGGTTGGCTCATCCTCCCTATAGCTTGTTTCTTCTTCCTTGGGATGAATTTCTGTTGTGCCTTCCAAATTACTCCCAGAAACTCCTGCCATTGCTGCTCCACCGTCCAAACAACTTTGGTAGCTCCTCCCTTATGTCCTTTATAGTTATCTTTACTAATTGTAATAGTTACATTTGATTTATGCTTCTCTGTCTCAAACTGCAGGATGCAATGTGCCATATTGTGATCACTGCCCCAGAGGAGTTCCTTCACCTTTAAGCTCTGGTATCAAGTCTACCTTAATACACATTCCAAATCCAGAATTGCCTGTTCCCTTGTAGGCTTTACCACAAGCTCAAAGAACCATCATGTAGGCAATCCGTGAATTCCTTTAATAA